TTGAAAAGAGTCTGCCAAAATCTTGATACAAATTGAGTTCCCCTATTTGATATAATACCCTTGGGTAATCTATGATAGCAATAGATATTGTTAAGAAAGAGCTTAGCTGTTTCTTCACTTGTGATAGATTTTGTATATGGTACAAAATATGCTATCTTAGTAAAACGATCTACTATCACGAATATAGAGTTGTAAGAACCTGAGATTGGAAGATCCGTGATGAAGTCCATAGAAACAAAAGACCATGGTTGTTCTGGAATGGGTAATGGGTGAAGAAGTCCAAAAGGTCGATGACGAGGAGTTTTTGATCTTAAGCAAACATCACATGATTTTACAAAATCTTTGACTGCCTTCCACATTCGAGGCCACCAAAAATTCCTAGATATCAGCTCCAAAGTCTTATTGTATCCAAAACGTCCTCCTGCTGGGAAGTCGTGACGAGCTTGAAGAATACGTAAACGTGCTTCTCCTTCTGGAACATCTAGGCATCCTTCGAAATAGAGTAGGTTGTTCTTGAACTCGAATTTAGAGGGATTATGAGATTTAGAAGAATTATTCTTGATATCATGAACATGAAGATCTGAAGACATACTTAACTGGACTTGCTTGAAAAAAGTTAAATCAACAGTCAATGTTGATTTTATTGCTCAAAGATGAAATTCCTCCGGCTTCAAGAAAACCATTCTTTGTTGCTCAAAAGCTGCATCGCCTTCTTTTGGTGTAAGATAAGAATGTCTAGACAAGGCATCGGATAAACCTTGTTGTTTTCTTGGCCGATAAGTGATGATGAACTCGAATCTTAATAAAGACATGCTCCAACGAGCTTGACGACAATTTAATACGCGTGATGACATGAAATACTCAAGGTTCTTGTGATCCGTATACACGGTGATTGGACTGGAAGCACCTTCTAGATAATGATGCCATTCTTGAAAAGAATCCACAATTGTAAAAAGTTCTTTGTCATGAATCTCATAATTGATATCTGCTGTTAAGAATTTTCTTGAATGAAAGGCTACTTGATGAAGTTTGTCATCTGTTCCCATTTGTGACAAAATCGTACCTAAAGCAAAGTCTGATGCATCCGTTTACATAAAGAATGCTTTGGAAAAATTAACACGATACAAAATTGGTGTAGAAACAAATGCTGTCTTCAAAGATTCAAAGCAACTTCCGCTTCTTGATTCCATTGGAGTTTGTCTTTACAAGTCAAACATGTAAGTGGAGCTACAACTCGAGAAAAGTCTTTGATGAAGATCCAATAGTAGTTGGCAAATCCCAAAAAGCATTGGACATCTCTTACCATTTTTAGAATCTTCCAATCTATAATAGTTTGAACTTTCTTAGGATCCATCATAAGTCCATTATTTGAAATGTTGTGATTTAAGAAATCGACTTGAGTAGTGTAGAATATACACTTTTCTATCTTGGCATAGAGTCCCACATCTCTTAATTTTTGTAACACACGATGAACATGAAGTTTATGTTCTTCTGAATTCTTAGAATAGATGAAGATGACGTCTAGATAACAGACCACAAAATCGTCCAAAAACTCTCAAAAAATATCATTCATTAAATGTTGAAAAGCTGCTGGTGCATTTGTAAGTCCAAAAGGCATGACATTGTATTCAAAATGTCCATACATAGTTCGAAATGCAGTCTTCTATTCATTTCTTTTTTTGATGCGTACTAGATTATATGCTCCATGGAGATCTATTTTTGTATAGATCCTAGCTTGAATCAACTGATCAAAAAGTCCAGATATTAAAGGTAGTCGATACCTATTCTTGATGGTAGTCGTGTTGAGTCTTCGATAATCAATACACATCCGTAATGATCTATCTTTTTTCTTCACAAATAGAATCACAGCTCCTGCCGGAGATTTAGAATGGCGTATGAAATTCCTGGCTAGATTTTCTTTAATATACTCCTTGAGTTCAGTCAACTCATTTTGTGATAAACTGTAGATTGGTCTGAATGGCGGTTGTGCTCCTTCTTGAAGGTCAATTGAGCAATCATAGGGACGACGTTCTGGGATTGTATCCACATTCTTTTTTTCAAATACATCTTGAAATTCTTGATATTGGCTTGGAATGCCACGTGAAGTCTTTGCATCGTTAGAAATGGGTGTGGCATAAATAATATATGGTGATTCTTTCATAGCAGCATGCAAGAAAGCTTTTGTACCTATAAACACATGTTTATTTGAACTGGACTTATGACTCTCTACTTGATTAACTACATTGTTAATTATACTTTTAGAAAAAGAAAGATTTCGGAAAATCCAATCTATTTGAGGGTTGTATTTTTCTAACCACGATAAATCTAAAATGACTGGATTAGAATGAGATCTAATGATATTAAATACTACAAAGCTATTATGATCATTGATTATTACTTCTACAGGAAGGGTTTCATGAGTAATATCTCCGGAAGACAATGGACGACCATCTATGACTTCTACATGAACATGTTTAGTTTTCTTTACTAAAGACATGTTATGTCTTTTAGTAAATTCTTCATCTAGGAAATGCATTGAGGCTCCTGAATGTAACAAGCTAAAGGCTTTGTAATGTTTAGGTCCTAAAATAACATTTAATGTAAAACAAGGAGAGGGCTCTCAGGAGAGAATAGGAACTTTACTAGATGTTGTACAAGATTCCAGCCGCACAGTCCCTATTGTAGCCGAACAAACTCATTTTCTAACATATTGTCTTCTTTTACAGCCATACTCCTAATTTTGTGGTTGCGTCATTTCTTTGGACAATGTTGAGCAATGTGTTTTGGTTCTCCACAATATAAACATAATCCTTCTTAATGACAACGTGTCTTTTCTTGCTCAATAAGAAGTTTGAAACATACTACATCAATTTGCATATCCTCTACTTCCGAATGTATGTGTTGAAGAGGTGTTGGTGTTGCCATTGAATTATAGTAATATTGAGGTCCACTTGTACGGTTCTCAGATCGAAATTCAAAAAGGCGATTGTCGCACTTCACAGCAAAGTCAATTGCTTGACTCAATGTTTGAAGATCAGGTAAGTTGAGCATTAATTTTTTTACCTCATACTGTAATCCATAGAGAAATTGGCTAATAAGTGCAGCATCATCCCATTTGATATCAGTTATAAGTTGTCAAAATTGTGAAGCATACAACGTTACTAATTGATTGCCTTCTCGTAAAATACAGATCTTATTGGTTGCAACACGAATTGCATCATGTTCTCCATACATAGATCGAAACTGCGTCAAAAAAGCCTCTAGATTATCTAATATTGGATCTTGCCGTTCAAGAAAAGATGAAAACTACGATAGTGGTGAACCTGAAAGAAACATACCAATGAATCTAACTTGCGATCTTGGAGTTGGATAGCTTTGGGGTTGAAGTTCAATCACAAGTTGCACTTGATTGATAAATCCTCGAAACTTGGATCTGGTGCCATCAAACTTCTCAGGTAGGGTACTTCTTGATTCTCTAATACTGGAAGGACGTTCCACCATAGGAGAAAGGACATGATTTGGTACAGATATTGAAGCAGCTCCAACTATTTCTATATCTTCACTTCCTGCCAATCTTATTGCTCCTTGTGGTTGTAAATTGAGTTGATGCATCGCAAGTATTAACTCCCTCAATTGTTCTTACATTTGTACCATTCCACTCTTCATTTCAACAAGTTCTGCCATAATAACACTTAGAAAAGAGAAGATGTCTAATATCGCTCAAGATAAATAGAAGAAAGGATTTGAGAACAAAAAAAATACTAAAGACAATATCAGTTTAGAAGAGGGTAATCTGCAACTTCTAATATGCTTATATCTTATCAAGCAAAAAAGGGTAATCCACTCTTAATCAAGATTAGACAAAGCTCTGATATTGTAGGTGTACTCTTGTCAATCTGTCAAGGACAAGAATTCGATGAAAAAATAATTCAGACAAGTGAGTCTTCATTCAAAGAAAGGTAATAAAATATAAATAAACAAGTATGTATATTGAAAGAGAAACTGGAATGGCTATTACCAAATGGAATCTAGAGATCCTTGAAACTAGACTGGAAGCAAGAAAGGAGTTGACAAGAGTGAAGAAATAACTAAACCTGCTTTGATGCCATGATAGAATCCAGAAGCCAGAGCTTTTATAGCCCACAAACATGCTCACATCTTTTAAAAATGGATGGAATAGGTACATATTTATACTCATATGAATGAGGTAGTTTGGTAGATCGGAACTTTGAGGTTGATCTGAACGGATGAAGTAGTGATTATCCTAAAACTGTTGCTGCAGTGTTAGATTCCAACATGACTAACTTCGAGACTCGGCAATCCGTCATGAGCCATAGAAAGCCCACAAGCTGGGTGCGTGCATGGATCCCGAAACGCAACCTGATCGACATGTGTTCCGAGCTGTCGGAGCCGAAGTAACGGGAACCGGGGACCGTCGCAATTCGCTGACTAGAGTCTAGGAACACCTGTGGAACACGTCAAATTAGACATATGATTCAAATGCATTGTTGATCTGGGGTTGAATTTGAGATGTCGTTTCTAGGATCCTGTTAGAGAGCCTTGTGGCACGTAGCCTCGAAGGTCGATGGCCTGTGACACAGATATCAAGGCTCGTGGATGCTCTTTTTCATTTTTTGTCATTCTGTGAGGGGATGAAATATCGGTCCGCTGTTTGTGGAACGCCTTCTTGCTTCTTCATTACGGTGTAGTGCATTACACGACATTTTTCTGTCGAGGATTACGATTCTTCTTATTTATTTATTTATTTATTTTTATTTCTACCATAATCAAACCTATGCAAAGATGGAATTTCAAACAGCTGAAAAGAAAGGACTCGAGGGCTCAAGAAATGTCTTGGTGGCTGCACATTCCAATCAGATTCGTCTCTTTCAGAAATGGACACTTTTTAGATACCTTACTCGAATCAGAAAGTAAAAAAGGAGACAAGAGAATACTAGCTTGTAAGGATCCCGTATGCAGTTTGACATGTGGCACATTCATTGATAACAATAGTAACCTGCAGTGAATATAGGGCTGGTGCAAAAATAAACACTGTAGGTGGCTCAAAGGAATTGTGTGATCCAGTGTTACGATTTTTTCAAGAGGCTAAGTAGTGAATCATAAGATTTGAGAAATATTGACCTCTTGTAAGGTATTGCACTTCGAATCCTCCAAAGAACAACACTGAGCATCGATTAATATGTACAATCTATTATAATCAAGTGGTGCAACATTTAATGCAAATGTTCATCCCTACAAAATTAACTCCAACGGTGCTGCTTGACATCAATCGAATTTTATAGCTAACCCCGCCACAGCTCCAAATCATTCACTCCTTGATTCATTTTGCGGTAGATTCTGGATGAGAACTATTGCTGATTGGTTGCTCCTCGCCTAAACATAGCAAAATCATATTAACAATCTCCTTCATTAGGTGCTTCCAAAAAAGGCTGCTACATATGCGGAACCCAAAACGTTTCTAAAACGTAACAAAACGATGAAAGCTACTAAATTAATTTACATGCTTTGAAAAGGTTCATACTGTTTCTATTAAATCGAGAGGCTAAAACAAACACTGCATCTTATATATGGTTTTCTTCTCACGTTGAACTCAATTCTTGTTTTCAAATTATGAAAATCAAACGAGAACTCACTGATAGGTTCGGGAATTTTCTCACTCTGGTCGCCTTTCAAACCAGAGCCAACTTGAAAAAGCGCTCCAGGAGGTCGAGAAAGAGGCTCCTTCAAGCTGTGCTCCTGTGTATTGTGGACAGGGTCACCATGGGAAATAACAATCAGGGAGGTAAAAGTTCAATTACTTGACATCTATAAAGTATCCAAATATAGATAGTTCTTATGGAATCCAAGAATGCATGACTACGTCATCAGCATATGAAAGTAAAGCATTTCCACTATCAAATTAGGCAACCCAAGGACATGATTGTGCAGCAGTAAGAGTCAACGTGCAGCTTACATAAACCCAGAATCAGTGGAGGATCAGAAATTAAACGTACCATTTGATCACAATGGAGCATAAGGTCCTTTGGAGCAGGAGTATCGGTACCCGTGGGGCCAATTCCAGTGCTAACGTTTGTCTGATCCTTCAAAATCTTAGGCAACTCGCCTGACGAGTTCCCTGACAGGTTCCCTTCAGAATCCATCTTCCTGCTTGAAATCAAGCTAAAACCCTCCTAATCTCACGTTTGAATAAAATATTTGTATCTGCACGAAAGCAGGTGGTTTCAGAATTGCATTGAAACTAGATACGCATTCGGAACACTTAGAAATTAAGTAATATTGTAAAGAGAATTTACTGAGATTGCAATTATCAATAACCTTCTTAGTACCATCCTCAAGCTATGACAAGGAATTCATTACAATTTTATGTGTTCCTAGACTGAACTAACACAATTAGAGCTTTCTCGTAATCCTAAGGACTAACACAAGCTAGGATCCCACGTTTCACCATTTACGGTTTCAGCAAACGACTACACTTGCACATGAATTCAACGAATACATACAAACTGAATGTAAGATATTTAAAATCTGAAGGCAAAGTCCTGACGGACATCGAATCAACCGAACAACATCCCCCCGTAACGACCTCCAAAACTTTTTCTACATACAAACGACATAAACCCTCCAACAAAAGATACCAAAAGCTACCAAGCGAGTGAACTCACAACTTACTACCTAGCTTATCAGGTGAGCTCATCTTCGCTTTTAACCTCAGCTCTCGACCACAAACCTCTAACTGCCGACACAACTGACAACGAAATAGAGGTTCGTTCGAATGCTCACTAACAGTAGAGCTACAGACACTCAAACTGTTATCGAAGACGGCGCAAATTCTGGCATGAAATGTATCTCACTTCTTGCTCTTGCCTCAAACCCTTGGGGCACGACACGGCAATGAAGGGAGGGATACGAAAGCGTCGAAGACCAGCAGCGACCTCAAACTCGAAACTCGAGCAAAGTGATGGCCAAACACGGCGACGTCGGGACATGGCTTTCTTGGGACCAGCCCCGCCCCCGAGGTGGAGTCGACGTGGCGCCTCTGGTCCAGGTGTCACCTTCCTGATCCCACCAAGTGTTGTGGCTTGAAGGGGCGGGGTATATTCCAGGGGTTGGGAAGTGTTCCTAAGCGAGACATTGCCGCATTGCGGTTTTCATTCATCTGAATAAAATGAATGTGTTTCATCCAACTTTTGCTTTATCCGGATGATGTCAGCATGCACAAGAAAAAAATCGTTGATTTCTTTTGTTGTGGCTGTTGATCAATTTATTTTCTTATTCTTATTTTTTTGACATAAAACGAGATTTTGCCTAATATATTAATAGAGTAGATTATGGTACAAACGATTGCATTAACACCTATTACTAGAGGGCTGGTGTTAAGAGTATTGTGTGAGGTAATTGCAATTACTTCTAATTCATTTATTCTCTTGTGTTTTTTTTAGCCATTAGGTGGTATTTTAAAGTTCTATTTAATGAACTTATGCACTTTAGAACCTATTAGATGTTTAGCCATCCATGATTTTTTCCATCTCTTGAAGAGGGTAGTCTCACATTCAAGATGTTGTTCTTATGTCTTCTTTACATATTTTTATTTGATTTATCCATATTCTATTAGGCTCTTTTAAATCATATTTTTAATATAGAAGTTACTAGATACTTACTTTTCAAAAATATACTTTATTTTTTAAATCCAAATGATTTATAAACAAAATCTTCTTAATAAAGTCTAAATCCTATCAAGGTATTTTAACTAAAAAGAGATATTTTTTGTAAAAACGACTTACTTCTAAGTGAGGATATTCTATAGATTCCATTTCTAAGGATTAAAAGTTGGTTTATATAGAAGAAAGAAAAACCAAAATCAACTTTTATAAGCTTAATAACACTCCTAAAATGTGTGTAGAATGGTCTTTGGCTTTTAGGAGAAGCATAATACACAATAAATATTACAGTAGGAACTAGCTTTTTTTTCTCCATATGTTAACTGCCACATCTTTGTGCCATATGAGCCACATAAATACAATCTTTTTATGGAAGTGAGACTTAGATTAAATATTATTCTATTTAAAAGATTAATTTTTATTTAAAAAAATTATTATATTTATTTGTTGTTTAATTAGTAAGAGGATTGTCTTTTTGAATTAGATTCTTCCAAAGTTTGGCAAAGAATGTCATAGATTCTTCTTTTATTATCTAAAAATAAGTTTTAAGATCAAAGATTACTTTATTAAGTGGATTATAAAATAAATTAATTCTTTTTGATATATATATATATATATATATATATATATATATTTTGTTAGATTTGTGTTTAAATCTATTCTAATAATTTTCAAAAATCATACCATATAAGACTCATTTTTGATTAGGAATTGTTTTTATAAACATAAATATTATTATTAGTATTTACTTGCATAAGATGAGTTAAATAGAAGATAAATTTACTAATGTCTTGTAGAAAAGCTTTTTAGAAGCATCATAGATGTATATTTGATTTCCTAAGTATTTGTAAGTGATAGGTAGGTTGAAAACTTAGCTAACAAATTGGCCATGTATTGCACATGCTTTATAAGTTGGCCACTTGTTGTATAAGTTGGCTATGTGGCGTTTATGTTGCAAACTTGCCTTTAAAGTTAGTCATGTATTTTATAAGTTGGAAATATGTTGGATAATGTGTAGAATATTGCCACATAGTTCCTTAAGCTAAGTTATATAAATAGAGGCAAGAATAAAATCTTTCTCACTTTTGAGAACTCTTTTCTTGCTTCTAATCTAATTTCAAGAGTTTGTAGCTTTCTTATCTTAATGAATAGTTATTCCAATTTTTCTTGGATATATATACTTTTTTTATTTTCTTTGTGTTGTCTTTTTTTTTTTAGACTTATCTCACATATTTAATTATATCCTTCAAGATCTTATCTTTAATTAATTGAAAAGAATCTATTTACAATATAAAAACTTTTATTTTTTCTTGATTCTCTTATTAAAAAATTGATGATTATCCATTTCTAAATTGATCTTGTTTTGTTTTTGTTTTGTTTTTTTTTTTTTTGTTTTTTTTTTTTTTTTTTGTTCTTAAGTTTTTCTTCAACTAATGCTAAGCAATATTAATAATCTTCTTTTTTATTGTATTATTACAGAAAAACTTATTGAAATAAAAGATACAATAATACAAATGCCCAAAAAAAAAAGAAAATTAATGCTTACAATGCATTAATTAAATTTACTACTGGAACAAAGAACAATATAAGTTAGAAATAAAGATATAGAAATGATTGATGTTGCTTCATTATCTACACCAAATTGTATTACTTTTCTTATAGTAGAACCTTATTTACATATTAAAAAACAAACAATTCCTTTGCTTAAGTAATTTGATAGTACAAGATCAAAATTTGAAGATTTATCTATAAAATAAAAATAGTAATTAAACTTCAATTTCAATGTTATTTAATTCCAAGATCATAAGTTAAGTTTATTTTTGAGACAAAAAATACACATATTCTTTTGCAAAACATTATTTTTTTGATTGATCAATTATTCTTCAAGAAAGAGCTCAACTATCATTTGGACCAATCTATAGTTTATGAAAAATAATTTGGCTTCACTCAAAGAATGTATTGATGAGAATTTGGTCAAGAATTTCATATTCCATTCAAAATCTCTACATGAAGCTCTTATTTTGTTTGTGAAAAAAAATAAAAAAATAAAAAAATCATTGTACATGTGTAGATTATTAAAGATATAATAAGAATATGTATCTTCTATCTTTGATATTGAGACTTTTTGGACAATTGAATCAAACAAAGATTTATATTAAAATAGATCTATGAAGAACATATAATCTACTATGCATTAAAGAAGGTGATAAATATAAAACTATAAATTGAATTGAATATTAATATTTTAAATATAATGCTATGCCTTTTGAATTCAAAAATGTGCCAATTGCTTCGTGATATCAAATGAATAATTTTTTGTAAAAGATTTTTAGATGGTTTAATTATTTTTTTATCTAAAAAATAAATTAATCTATTATAAAAATAAAAAAACATAAAGTTCATATTTTTTGTGTGTTATAAAAACTTAGAGATACAAAACTTCATACCAAGTTAAAAAAGTGTGTATTTCACAAAATTTAAGTTGGTTTCTTAGGATTTATTATCTCAAATAAAAATCTTATAATAGACCATCTTAAGAAGTTATCACAATTGAATATACATGTAGATCTTTTTTTGACAATATTAATTGCTACAATAGATTGCCAAAAGATATTATATCACATAGAAGGACTCAATTTCTATCTAGATTTTGAAAAACTCTTTTTAAAGTATTAAAGATGGGCATAAAATTATCTTTGGCCTTTATTGAAAAATAAAATGTGTAAATTAAGTATTAGAGAAGCATTCTCTAAAAAATTAAAAATGAATGTTTTAAAAAGTGATGAGTATATTTTAGATAAATAATTTACCTAAAATATATAGGAGATACTAGAGAAGTTGTTGTAATGTGTACAAATTTTCTAGAGCTATGAATGTGAATTTATGAGGGAATCTTCAACATGCAAGCCTCAATCCATTGAAGGGCGTGAGACTCACAAACCTTTCAACTCTCTTGTTTCTGCAAGTACTCCAACTCTCTTTCAACTACATCACACAGTTGACTAAAAGGCCAATTGATGGGAAAAGAATTATGCACTAGACTTAAGTTTGTTACTTGCTAGCAACCCAATGAGTGATTGATACTATAGAAGAGAGAAAAACGTAGATTTGCTCGTGAAAAATACTCTATAACTTAATAAAACATATTGATTACAATAATGCATCAAATACACACAAAAAGATACTCTGAATCAAGAACTTTAGGTTTTACCGATGTTTGGAATGATGAGACGAGTCTCGTGAATGCCTCGATAGTGTTTTCGTCGGAACAGTCACAGGTTATAATATGGCCTGTCTCTTCAGCATCCTCTGATGCGATATACTGATCAGTGGCGTCAACGCTTCCCCTCTGCCCCTGTCCAATTCCACTAGGAATTGTGAGTCTGGTTAACAGTCACATTAACATTCTCATGATTTTTGCAGAAAAACGGAAATGCAATATTACCTTGATTGTCCATTTGATAGATGACATTTCAGCTCTTGCATTCCAGATGTACCAATCAACCTGAAGGAATTCTAGCACACAAAGGTTTTCAGCAAGAACGAAATGTGCAAAACACAGTGCTTTATCACCCTAGAAGTCATTCTTTTCCATTGGTAAAGGTGTGTAACACCAAAAAAACTATCCCACTCTTGGTTGTTCCATAAAAAAAAAAAAAAAAAAAAAAATAGTACTGCTTTGTAACAAAACCCACCAATGCGACTCAGTGTCTGCCGTAAAGTGAACGAACCAACCGTGATTGACCAAATGCATGGAAAAATCGGAAAAATAGAAGACCCGTCATCCCTATATCCTCTATTCAGTAACCGAAATCAAATCGGACTGCAACAAAGAACCACCAAAAAAGTGATGGATTCTGTCATAGCCACCACACATTTACAAATTAATTTCGAGCAAAGGAGTTCATACTTAGCTCAGAGTCACAACCACTACGCAATTACTTCAAAGCTTTCAAGCATGTGTAGAAATCGTAGAGGAACTCGAAAATTAATTGTCCTTACTCTACCACAAGGCGAATGATGAACTCTGAAATCTCAACTGTGTCACTGGGCAACAATGCTGCCTCTAATCGAGCTGAATTACAGCACGACATACTCTTCCAACTACTGCAATCAAAGCAACCCACAGCTTGGGCATCGCAAACCGGGGCAAATATACACTCAGAGACTCCGACTTGAAGCACAAATAGTAGGAATCAACGTCATGATCATTATGTGCTTCACATTCCCTATAAACAAAGCTCCGCAATACAAGTTCACCTCACAACACACAGAAAAAACGATGCTACAAGATAGGAAACTGGTGGAATTCACATGCTGCTAGAGCTGCAAAAATAAACGACCCACACCGCAGCTTGACCCACAAGCATGGTGCCGATTAAAATGAGGTGGAAGCTTTAGAAGAAAGAAAATCAGCATTTGAAACGTCATACGCAGTTGTTGGTGATGCACGCACTAAAATGAGTGATAGGTTTCAAACTTTATGATCTCAAGGATCACTTCATTGCCACAGCAACAAGACTTGGTTTCTTGACTTGAATCCCGGATGTAGCCCTGTTCTCCATACAACCATGCAACAAGATTTCGGGTATACAATAATGCAACAAGATTTAGGTATACAACAATGCAACAAGATTTCGGGTATGCAACCGGATGATCCAACAAGAAACAGATAAAATACCACCATAGTAATGCCTTACATTGTGGAAAAAATTGAAGATAAAGCATGTGCTCTTTGCATTGCAATCCTAGAACTGAATGTCAGCATTCTTAATCGTGGCCAAAGAACAAACCTACTCCTCACCCCGACAAGGAATGGATGATACCATACAACAATACAACAAGATTTCGGTATACAACCATACAACCATATTTTATCTGTTTCTTGTTTGATTTCGGTTCCCCATCTGTTCTTCTCAGTTGTTGCTCTCAATAGGGTGCATCATATGACGTGAATTGGATGATGGAATAGACTTTGAGGATTCCTTTGATCCATTGGGTTTCTATTGCAATGTTGCTTTTATCTTATGAAAGTTGGCAAAGAGTTGTAGCGAGTAGCAGGAGGATCTTCTTCAAAATTGCCCTAAAAGGAAGTTTTATTTCTCAACAAAACTGTCACATTGGCCCCATGCTATCCAAACTCCCATTTGTACCTATAAATCAACTACATCCTCTCTCCCTTATAAGTTAGATTTTCTTTTGGAATTCCATGCACATATCTTCTATTTGCTTATGTTTTCTGTGAAAATATTGTGTATAGCCACCTTTCTTGTGTTTTCTGTCTACTAATTGCTCATCATTGCTCATCATACTATTCAACATTAATGAATGCTTGTTTTTCCAGACTTGTGTAAAACCGCCACTTAAATCTTTTGATAAAAATCTTGTTGGCGTAAAATTAGAAATAGATGATTCCGTGGAGATATTTGACGATTATGTGATATAATCTGTAACATTTAACAGTGCACAACCAAAAACCCAAGAAAACTAGTGTATTTTAACCCAATTATGAATACTTCGAACTATCAGTTTATGAGAAACAACGTTTGCTGTTTGAATCTCATTTGACCCATTTGTAGAGGAAAATTTTGGAAGGAAACAACATTGTTTCAAATTAATAGAACCATGAACCTTTCGTCACTGATTTCGTCCGCAACTAGTCACACATGGGAACGGAGATTCCGTCGCCGTTTGTGAGCATGATTCGAGTGGCAGTTGGGGCCGGCGGATAGTTTGCCCTTTCGTCACTTGTTTTTCTGGCCCTTTCATAAAGCCCTTGCAATCTTTCAACTGCAATCACCACTAAAAGACTACTCTCGCATTAAGGAGATCAGCAGTTTTTTCTGGCTCATGAAACACACCGTTGGAGTAGATCGATTGCAGAGTGTGCCGAATTCAATTGTCTCTACAATCGATGCAGGGAAGTTGTAGCACCTCAAGTTGATTCTGATCTCATGATCACTTTGGTTTGTCTTTTGGAACTCGTGGTTTTTGAAGAAAAGATTTCGATTTCCCCACTTCATCAGCACTTCGTGAGCTTGAAGCTCCGACGTCGTTTTCGAAGACATCCACTATGTCGTCCAAAAAGGATGTTGAAGATGTATTGTTTAGTCTCTTCCCTTCTCTGGCAGAAAATCGTATCCAGCAATATGCAAATACAAATTCCATTTCAGAGGCAGTTGTGCTGGGAAATGTTTGCTATTAGGTCCGCCGATCTTGTAAGCTTAGAGCACCTCCGGTTTTGTGAATTCTATGCAGAGCTTGTTCATCCAGGACGAGATGAAGACAGTCATAAAGGATTCTATCGACGAGACGATTGGGAGCCAGCAATTCCAGCACGACAAGGTCAATCCTCCAATTGAACCCACTTCGTTGTGAACTTCTAAACCACATAACCACAAAACTAGTTGACAAAGCCGCAGATCACAAATTGGTTGAGCAGATTTATGGGTTCAGTGCAGGTCGAACACTGGACAAATGGAGTGGGAGAGAGCTGCATTAAGCGTTTGGCCATCCTCAACAAACCTTTCAAATACGTCGGTAAGTGCGGAATCCTTTCGTATTGGCGGGTGAATTCTCAACAAAACATTACATACACGCCGACAATCCTCATGACAAGCTCTACTTAACGCTGGTCGCAGTGACAACTGTTATAATGCAAAAGAATGGAGCTGGCATGCTAGTGGCTACGTCTGGCTTCTGGAATAAAGGCACGGACGGAAGCAACACCATTCGGTGGGAGAACAAGACCATGTACGTCATTGTAACTATCTTCGGTACTTTGCTTTGAGACCTGCAACATTAGACGAGACAGGCATCAAGTCAAAAACTGAAGGAAACTGTGAGTCTTGCGAGTTGAGCACGAGGTTTTGCAAAGTTAAAGCACACTTCTCACAGAAAAAGCACGTCAACAGACGGAGCTTCTTTCAGATACACTTCTGCAACAATCCATCAACTTAAAAGATGTTGCAATTCTTCCAATCGTGATCTGAAAGCTTCTAAATACTCTAAAAATTTGGGTATTTGGTTTGCTTTCATCTTTGCGTTATAATTTAGATATCAATCCGTCTTCAAGAAGTCATATTTAATTTATAATTCTAACTCCTTAGCAAAGCGGCAGTATATATATATATATATATATATATATATGTGTACATACACCAACATACACATATACACTAAATTAATACTGTTAATAACTTCAATATATAACTTAGATTTTATAACCCATTCATTTTTAGATTTTAAAAAATCAAAATAAAAGGTTGAATACTAATAAAGAATCAGATTATTGTGGTTATTTCTTAACAATATATTTTTCATTATGGCCAAACCATCCACCAGTGGCTATTTTATTTTATTTTATTTATTGTATCACTTCTTTATATCAAATGCTGTCCATGATCTTATGTTTTCATTGTAATAAAAAAAATTATATATCTATTATTATTTATTATTTTAAAATCTTAACTAGATTATATAAGGTAAAAAAAAAATTAAATTAAATTAAATCTCAGTTGTACTGATTTTAATGAAAATAATTTTGGAATCAGCATGTACTTTAAAATCTCTATTATGCACAGACCTTTGAAGTAAAGCATTTAGTGATTTTTTCCCCAAAATCCCAGCATATTTATATATATACATCAAAACGCAGTAGTAATTTTTAAATTATTAAAAATTAATTATTGTAAGAAAGTAGTCACACAGAAATTACAAAACATTTAATTATCCAGAATAAAGTTGATTAACTTCAAATGATTACTTAAAATGAATGATTCTAATTGAACAAATAGTGTCAGATATGATCTAAGCCTTAACAAAATTAGAAGCACTTCTACTTTATATTGTACAAGTCATTGTTAACTTCCATTCAAAAAGTTAAAATTAAAAATATATATTTACTTATACTTAAACATACATACATATATTATTAATTTTTGCTATAACCAAAGGGAGAAGGAAAAACAAGGGGGTGGAGTGGAGACAAGGGAGGTTGGGTTAGGGAGAGTGGGCTTAGGGTGGAGACCAAGGACAAGGTTGGGGTATGGGAATGGGGATGTTGGATGGGAAGGAGGTGGGGGACATGGAACTTGTACAAAAACAAATCATGAGTTGGGAGGGAGGGATTTGGCTTTAACAACTTCCTATATATATATTTCATAAAAGGATATATGCTTTGTGTTCTTCATTAGATGTCACAAGGGCATTTTAGACATAAATATATTAGGATTTTGTAGACATGAATATATTATCTATATAGATAGATAGATAGATAGATAGATATAAGGAAAAATATCTATAGATAGTTTGAAATCCATGGCTAATGAGTTTAAGATATATTTAAAGATTATTTAATCTTCAATTTTTTTTGTTCACCCTACATCAATATTTATAAGATCTAAGACATTAAAAATATTTGAAATAGAATAATTTAATTTTATATCAATCACCATAATATATATATATATATATATATTGAATAAGTTATAAATAGAATTATATTAAAAAGAACATCTACTTTAATATAAATTTTTAAAATATATATTTGTAAAAATAATTATAAAATAATCTTATCATATATATATATATATCAATAAAAGTTTCTAAAAATATTATATAGATGCACTTCTATTATAAAGAAAGAATATTAATTAGAAGTTTTTGTTTGTAAAGTATAAAGATTCAATGGTGGTTTTTTCTAATACCAAAAAACCAGAGAATTTGAAACTAAAAATGAAACGTTATAATATTGTATAGAAGCTTTTTTTAGGAGATCAAGGCTTTTAGGCAAAGTGTCAAAGTTTTATTTTCTCAAAGCTTTATAAGAAAATAAAACTTCAAGGAAAAGTTTTCACAACCTTATAACATTTGTAAGAGCATTTGTTGCTCTTGTCCATGAATAAGAAACTCTTTTATTGTTTATTTAGAAAGGTGTCATTTACTTATTGTATTTATTTGTGTTTTCACTTACATCTATTTGTTTCTATTATATTAAGTAGTATATGTGTGATTTAATAATTTCTCCATTTAAAAAAAAAATCAAGTGAATAACTACTTTTAGATTTGAGGAATTATTTTGAAGAAAATATGTATAGATTAGTATTTTTAACTTCTATTCATTAAAAAAAATATATATAATACCATCAAAATAATATATAACATATATATTGTAATTTAATTTTATTAGTTAATCATGATAATTAAAGACTAAAAGTAAACTATTTGATGTTGGACTATTAGTTTTTGAAAACCAACAATAATATATTACATTCAATTGATATTCGAATACAAAAATAATTATATTAATAATATTATTAAAAAATAATTAATCAAATTATAATAAATACTTTATTTAATACAAGATATTAACAATGTAAAGAAGTTATTAGCTTACTAAGTGAAACAAACTAAATTCAATTAAATATCAATCTCAATGTAATTTTAAAAATTAAAATAAGATAATTGGATCATTAAAAAAAAAGATAAATGACTATATAATTGAAAATATCAAATAACCTTCCAACATGTTGAAATAAAAAAATAAATATACTAATTATCAAATCCTTCATCAACAATGTGCTTTATATTGCATTCTTAAATCCATTCAAAACCTACCACAATAGGATGTTATGAGAAGATACATGGCAAACAATAGATGTTATTTAATGACTAAATCTATGAAGTAAACCGTGGTTTAATTCAAAGTGATTTAAAACACTTGTTACTTGAATCCAAATAATTGTACCTAGATATATAAACAAGAAAGATGGAGCACCACACAAGATAGCATAAGAAGAATCCAATTGGACATGTTTTACAAACATAATAGATACATATAAAAAGAATGATAAAACAATTACAAAGGAAAAAAATAATAAAAGAGAATTTCTTTTAAAAAAAAAGTAAAAAAAATAAACAAGTAAAAAACTAAAACTAATATAATTGTTTTAAGTATTGTAGGTATTATAAACAAAGTTATGAAATACAAAGTATATTATTATTCTAAAGAATCCAAACAAAATTTGTAAAGCCAATGTATGATTCTAAATAGTCACTCATTGATATCTAACCTCCATCCATATGCATTAGCACTAGTAAAAAGAAATGCATAAAGATCATAGTTTTGTAATAAAAAAAATAATAAAATTTAATTAAATAAATAAATACTATTATATAGAATTAAAAAAAACCATCACTTAGAATATTAAGATTATATCGAGGGTTTTTTTCTTCTTTAGCACCTACTAATATATCTTAAGCTTAGAAGTAACATACAAGCAAAATCCTTCATTAAAAACCTTTTATTAGATTCTAAGCATAAAATATATATGTGTAGTATAATAAGAAATATCATTATTAAAATTTGTAATATGGTAGAATATAGATATATATATATATATATATATATATATATTAATTTAAATTAAGAAATATATAAATTTTAAGAAAGAAAAAATAAAAAATATATATATATATATATATGATATTTTTTAATCGATAAATGGTAAATAATTAAGTATAAAATAGATTCTTATATGATTGATTCTTACATATTTCCAACAATACCAAAAACATGTAAAAAGAAGTATTTCATAAAGTTATGAAATATATGTATATATATATATATATATATATCCATTATACTATATAAATAACTTGTTCATGTAGTAAAAGATTTAAATAAAACCAAAGTTCACAAATGTTGTGTGTGTGTATATATATATATATATATATATAGATATATATTATATTTTTGATATTTCATAACTTTAGGTGCCATGGAAGGATCTTAAGATCTTGCCTAATTTTTCTACCTTCTTTCAAGGAGCTACAATCCATACACCTCAAATGCACCTCAAATTCTATTACTTATTAATCATAGAAGTTTTACCATATATATATATATATATATATATATATATAAACTTAATGTGATGTTAAAAATACCAAATTTAAAAACACTGTAAGAAATTTTACATTGTTATGCACTTTTTAATGTGTGTCTTTGTCACATTTCATGTACATGTACAAATAGATGAGTTGGTGTGGATTAGTGAAGCCTCACAATGTTGGGACTACCTCTCTCAACCTCATCAACACCAACAATGAGCTCATAGTAAAAAAAAAAAAAAAAAAAAAAAAAAAACACACAATCAATCCTACAAGACAACAAAGTTGATGGAAGTATGCTCCCAACAGAAAGCAGTGGAATGTTGTTTCATTTGCAACAAGTGGATGAGTTGATATGCATGCGCAGTAGCCATTTGGTGTGACATTGTGAAGCAGTAGGACGTGGTGGACGGAAGTATGAAATGCAGCTGCGGAGCAGGTTCAAATAGAACTGGAAGAGAAGAGAAAAAATGTGGATCATTTCTCGATGTGTGCGTGTCATCCGTGCGCAGGGGCCATGCTAATCTTCTCTGCATCGCTCCAATTTCATCAGATGTCTCCGAAGAAACAATGGTACAATCTCGCACTAAAAACCTTCGTTCTTGTGCCACACCATCCCTTATGGGCTTCATGTGCTCCAGGTCCCAGGCCTCGCTCGCCTTATCACAAGCCACCCTCTTCTCTCCATCCCATTCTCCTCTCCACTCCCCGCAAACTTGCACACCACGGTCACTTCACTTCGCTGCTGTTCTCCACGCACGCTCCTTCACTGCTCATGTCTCCTCGCCCACAACCACACATGGACGCTGTTGCCACATTGTCTGCACCTCTACCTCTGTCCACGCTAGCCCAGCCCAACCCTCCCTTTATAGGAGCTCTTCCGTGGCGTGCCAATGCATTTGGCTGAATCAGCACGCCGCATCCAGTGCCCATCCACTAGGAGGCCCGGGTGAACTCGGCTGCGATGATGGCATACCAAACCTGAGGCAGCAACACAAAAGTGGCCCATGAAGAAGTCGCCCGTCGGCGTTGGCGATGGTGCAAGGCAACCCACCTCAACCCTGGTGTCCATCACCTGCATGTAGTTGAACTTGTTATTTGTGTTGTCGCAACCTCGGAGTTTTTTTTTGTTTTTTGTTTTTTTTTTAAGCAAATCAATTACGGGAAAGCGACAAAGGTGCGTTCTCCGATCTACCCTCTGCTCTTGCCAGCGCGCTGGATATGGTACCCAGACCTCAATTTCTAACCTCAAAGTTTTTGCTCAAACTCATAAGTAGACATCTATGAACTCTTCATTGATCTTATAGGCCTAATTCTAATACTTTTGTATATGTGGTAAAATACCTCTCATTTTGATTGTTAAAATGGCATGAAACTTAATAATTATATTTTTTAGTTGCATATGCAAAGAATCGTTGAGCATCAAATGTAAATTTAAAAAAAATTAAAAATTAAATACTCTTTGCTTCCTTCAAAATTTTATTGTTTAAAATGTTTAACTTTTATTTCTTCAGTTAAAGATCTCTCTTAATTCATAACCATAATAGTAATTCTTTAACCTCACCCCTTATTCTCTAAACAAAACCTCTATTTGCAATAGGTCCATATTTTTTTTAGCTTAGAGTGACATTTTATCAAATAGGTGGTTTATAATATAACAACATATTGATTAAAACTTTAAATATCTATTGGTTGATTTATATTTAAATATAAATTTAAATATTTATTAAATATTTATTATGATTATTTAAATTTAAAACTATTATTTTCATAAATAGCTGAATTGATAAATACTTATATTAAAAATTGCCTATTTTAAAATAGATTTTAAAATAAAATATTCCTATTAAGTAAAAATAAATATGATCGAATTAAAAAAATCAAATTTTTCATTATAAAACTAATGTAATCATTATTATTTTATATGCTTCAAATAATGAATTATCACGGAACTGACTTTTAAAAAGTTTAGTCATTATTACAATCTATATATTTGAGGATGGTTAAAAAATTTAATATATATATATATATATATATATATATATATATATCAAATTTAAAAATTTAAAACATATTTTACATAAAGAAAATATTATATTAAAAAAGAAATAACATAAGAGCCTACTCCAATTCACATATGCATTCATTTAAATTAGTTTATAATACACTTTGTTTGTTTTTACAAATACAATTAGAAATATCTTGAAAGGCTAAATTTTAATAATAAATAATATACAAAAGAGCAAAATTTAATAACATGTGTTCAAATAGTTTTAAAGTGATGTTGCACTAGTTAATTCACACCAAACCTTCAATAATATGTAAGAGAGAAGTGCTATAAAAGTTTTAAAAATTCATGGCCCAAGAATAGAAAAATAATAATCTTTATTATGGAATAAATGTAAATTAAACATCCAATTTTGTTATATGACTGACTAAGAATGTATCAGCATATCTTTCTAAAATGGGATTTTAGGAATGAAGACCTTGTTCTCAATTGAAAAAAAAAATGTTATTATGAGTCTATCTTAACAAAAATATTAAAAAATGTATATATATATATATATGTGTAGAAAAAGAAATAGGAGGAGTTAAAGCAAAGAAAAGGTAGTTGCCTACACAGCCATGCAGCGAGCGTTGCGATTGCGATGGGTGTTTCAGGAGCAGCACATGCTCCTTGCTGGGTGACGCGATGCGAGCAGATGCGCCACGCCAGGCGCTTTTGAGGTGTAGTTGATGTCTGTGGTGGTGCATGCAACCACTCTGGAGGATTCTTTAGTTGCGTCGGAGGATTGCGGCATTGCTTTTCGAAGGGGAGGGTTGGAGGACTTGGGGTTGGGGTTGGATTATGGCTAAATTTGGGTTGTCGGTTTGGTGGCTCGGAGGAGGAGAAGGGCAGGTAGAAGTGGAGGGAGCGATGCCGATGCTTTGTCTTTGCACAAGCAATCTTTGGAATTGGGAGTGGCAGCTGCGTAGACCGATATATTTGGCTCAGTTCTGCAGGATGAGGTGCCCACGATGTCGAGCAGCATGCGTGAGGAGTGTCGTTCTTCAACTCATGCTTGGAAGGTTGGCTCGGTGGAGACTATATCATGGAGGAGCAGCCTGGAGAATTGGCTCATGGGACGAGGTTCGAAGGATCCTCTTAGTTCAGGATTTTTGTTTCCAGATGGATGGGATGAAGACAGCGAAGACCTTCGCCGATCCTTGCTCACGGAAAGCGACGATGGTGGCGGTTTAGAAACGTGTCACCTCGACAATGCGGAGAAGAATTCTTGCAAGAGCTATATTTTGCAAGGGAGCCATGTCGTTGATGTGGGCTTCATGCGAAAGACCGTCGGGAATTTGGCTGGGTGCGAGAATGCAGCGTCTAGAATTCATCGGTCCCAGACGGCGCCGGCTATGTCGATCATAAACAGGGATCGGAAAGCAATCTCTCTGAAGCGTCCCGAATTTACGAAAGGGTATGCGATTGTCATGCAAGCCGGAGTTGGTCTTCTCTTGTACCTCGCCATAGGAATTGCAATTCTCACATGGAAGAGCGATGGGTTTTTTGGAATCGAGACGTTCTCGGTGGTAGATAGCCTTTACTTCTGCGTGGTCACCATTTGCACTGTTGGTTATGGCGGCAATGTCCCCGTAACCCCTTTTGCAAAGCTCTTTTCATGTATTTTCGTGATGATAGGATTTGGCTTCATTGATGCATTGATAAGCAATGTGGTGACCTTCGTGTTGGACAAGCAAGAGGAGCTCCTTCTCAGTGCTGTGGAGGGAAGCCATTACCTTGCCAAGAAAGATCATTTTTGGAATGCCAGATTGAGGCTTATAAGAAAAAATCTAAATTGCTTAAATATGAAAGTAACAAGGTAATTGGGATTTATGTATGATTAAAACTACTTAGAAGAGTTTTTTTTAGCACTTTTGAATTGAAATTCGGATTATATTCTTTTCATATGGGTGAAACCTATTAGGATTTCTTAGATACTTGTGAAACACAACCTCACCTTCCATAGCTAGTTACCTTGTGCATTTCTAAATAAGATAATACGTAATACGACAATGCCAATGTACATATCAAATGACGAGTGCAGTGTCATGTAATATGACTATATGATGAAAGATGGTAATATAGAAGAGCAAAGTTAAAAGATAAAGTAAAAAAATATGGATAAAAGATAGGAAGGTAATAAAATTTTTAATAGTAATACTGTCTTGTTAGAAAAGTGACTTCTACTTATTTTGTAGGGCCATAAATAAGGTAGAACAAAGTAGATTGGAAAAATAAATGATATACGCATTTTTAGGGAGAAGTTAAGAGTAAATTCTAGCAAAAATTACCTAGAAAAACTAGATATTGATACCCAAAGAGGGCCGGTTATGAACTAAGATTGAAATCAGACCCTAAGGCACAAAATCAAGCTTGGATGATGATTTTTGGAATCTTTTGGAAATCAGAGGGTAGAATATTGGAGTTGATTTGATAGGTTTTCTTTGAGTATTGATTTGGTGTGATTTGAGTGTATATTGACTTTGTAAAAGCTTTGCAAAGTCAAGATTTGTTTTGGGTGATTCTGAATTTGTGAAATAAAGTGAGTGATATTTTTAGAGAATTTCCTAAGTTTGGTAATAGATCTATAGATGAAAATTTGAAGATTTGTGTGTATATATTTGTTCAATATATGTTATAAGTTTGAGCTTGATTGAAAGGTTAGATCAAGGATTATTGAGGTTTAAGTGGATCGGGATCTCGGGAAATAGAGTTTTAGGTCTAGTGAGGATTTCTTAGATTTCTTGCAATCTATTAATTGGATTGGAGTAAAAATTATGTATTTGGATAATATAATTATTTTTTTATATATATATGAGTAATTTAAGATCAATTGAATAATTCAATAAGGAAATATTGACATTGAAAGTTTAATATTTAGATTGAAGAAGGAGGCCGGCCAACATCCAAGCATATATTAAGATCGATCTTCTTTTTGGTGAATTCAATCTTCCTCAAAAAAATTGTACTTATTTTCAACTTAATTATAAAGAAGTATGAAAAATTTGAGTTGAAATCAATGGTTCATTCATTAATTATTGAGGTTTAAATCTGTCATAGGAATTACTTGGATTATTTAGGATTTGGTTAGGATTCAAATAAGGTTTGTTTAGGTTTGTTTAGGATTTGATTAGAATTTGGTTAAGATTTGTTAGGATTTTTTTAAGATTTAGTTAAGATTTATTTAAGATTTTATTAGGATTTGGTTAAGATTTGTTACGATTTGTTTACGGTTTGATTAGGATTTGTTTAAGGTTTGATAAGGATTTGATTAAGATTTTTTTAGAATTTGTTTAGGATTTGTAAGTGTTTGAATAAGATTTGGTTAGGATTTCTTTAGGATTTGACTAGGATTTATTTAGGATTTGGTTAGGATTTGTTTAAGATTTGATTAGGATTTATTTAGAATTTGGTTAGGATTTTTTTAGGATTTTACTAGGATTTATTTAGGGTTTGGTTAGGATTTGTTTAGGATTTGATTAGGGTTTAATTAGGATTTTTTTAGGATTTGATTAGGATTTGTTTAGAATTTGGTTAGGATTTGTGTAGAATTTAATTAATATTTTTATTTTAGTATATTTTTGAATTCTATATTATTTCGTTATGATTTCTTTAAAGGTTCTTTAAGAATACTTTGTGTTTCTTACATAATTCCTTTGAAATTTTGATTGAATTTGATTTAATGTTTGATTATATTTGCTAATCTTTAATTGTAATTTGTTTAAGAATCTATTAAAGTTGTAAGGACTTGTTGTTGGATTTTTTTTTTATCTTCCATAGTCAGGTGCCCAATGCATTTTCAAGCCAAAATGCCACGTATTACGACAGCGGCCACATCATTAAAAGCTTTGTAAAAACATGAAGGTGTCCGGCTACAATTGGGACTATGGAATTGGATTCTTCACTATCACAAACCAAAAAATATCCTATACTCTATGCTAGCCCTTTCCATTGTTTTACAATACCTATATAGTTAAGAGTCACAAAATTAAAGTGTTATACATTATTTGATTTGAAAACCTTTGTATGTTTTATTGACAAAGAATTTTTTAGATCATAAAAAATATGTACGGTCAAAAAATCCAAAGCCGTACATGTAGAAGTAATAGATAGTTGATCTTTATCCTCTAGAGACGTCACTTATGATACAATTCCATTAGAAATAACCTTTGACAACCATAGTAGTCAAGTAGTATTCAGCGTCATTAAATAAACATCACGTCCAATCATTTTAGGACTCTCATAGCTTGAAAAATACAATCTATGGATAGATTAGATATTCCAAAAGTTAGAATTTCTTTTAGTATATCATAGAATCTCTAGATCTATGAAAAAACTTTTAACACCTAACAAGCTAAAACTTAAAGAATATTTATTTATTAGAGTTAGAACATTTGTGAGGGGGGCCAAACAGGGTACTACGTTTGCTATCTCTATAAATCCACGATTGAAACCTGTGGTTGCTACAAAAACAATTTTAGAGGCATATAAGAATTTTATAAATATATTTGAAAAGAAAAATATGGACATTTGGACAAAGCATCATCTTTACGATTATGTGATTGACCTTCAAAAAGATGTTCAATTATCATTTGGACCCATATACAATTTATTCGAGAATAAGCTTGTGACTTTAAAAGAGTACATTGATGAAAATCTAGCTAAGAATTTTATTTGATATTTCAAGTTGCCAGCTAGTGCTCCGATAATATTTGTGAAGAAGAAAGATGGATCTTTACAAATATGCATTGATTATCGCGATCTTAATAAAATAATAGTAAAAAATTGATATCCATTGTTGTTGATATCCAAATTTTTTGATCAACTTAGCCAAGCAAAGATCTTTACGAAGATTGATCTATGAGGCATGTATAACTTGGTATGCATTAAGAAGGGAGATAAATGAAAGACAATATTTTGCACTAGGTATAGAAATTTTGAATACAATGTCATGCCTTTTGGACTTACCAATATACCAACCATATTCCAACACTTAATGAATGATATATTTTGCAAGCATCTCAAAAACTTTGTTATAATCTATTTGAATGATATTCTAATATTTTCTAAGAATCCAAAAGATGACAAAAAATATGTCTGACTTATATTGAAAAAACTACAAAGTATTGGGTTATATGCAAAACTAGAAAAGTGTATATTTCATGTTCTTCAAGTCAAATTTGTTAGATATGTTATTTCCAACAAAGGCCTTTTTATATACCCAAAGAAGGTAAAAGTAATCATCAATTGGGCAAAGCCAAAAATTGTACGTGATGTCCAATGATTTCTTGGATTTGCAAACTTCTACAAGGTTTTTGTTAGGAATTATTCTAAGATTGCTACTCCACTTATGTAATTGATATGCAAGGACAAGCTGGATTAGCGTTCTAAAGTAGAGAAAGCTTTTTAAAGCTTAAAAGATACTTTTATAACAGCTCCAATTTTGATATATCTAGATTTTAACAAATCTTACTTTATAGAGATCATTGCCTCAGACTTTGCATTGGAAGCAGTCTTGTCATAATATGGATAAGATGGCAAACTTCACCTAATTGCATTCCATTTTAGAAAATTCTCAATAATAGAAATCAACTACAAAATCTACTATAAAGAATTATTTTTCAACATAGATTCTTTCTAAGAATGGTACCACTTTCTTAAAGGTACCTCTCAATAATGACTATATATAGAAATCACAAGAATCTTGAATACTTCATATCAGCTCAAGTTTTGAACTATCACTAAGTCCATTGGAATATATATATTTATCATAATTTGATTTTTGCATCATGTATTGACCTTGAAACCAACAAAGGTAATTAAATACATTATCAAGAGGTTTCTACCTTGAACCAAAAGAAGGTGAGGCAGCATATGATCAACAACGGATAACCTTGTTAAAGCTTGAGCAATTTCATCTTCAAGCAATCAATATATCAATGCTTGTGGATTTATCATTTCTTAATTAGGTTCATAAAGCCTTAACCATGGACCCTCTTGTTCTTAATATCAAGCATCTTGCCAACAACCTTCATGAATAATCTTTTAAATTTAAAATTGAAAACAACATCTTATTCTTTGAAGAACATTTATTCAATCCTAAAGGGCCAACTTGCCTGTGCATTTTTCAAATACGCCATGACTTCCTTGCAGCGAGACATTTCGGATTCAATAAAACCTTGGAACTTTTGTCTAAAAACTTTTGATGGCCTAAAATGTAGAAGTACATCAAGAAATTTGTATTATCATGTGATACTTATTTAAGGTCAAAGAATCCTTGATACCAACCATATGAACTTCTTCAATCCCTTCTTATTCCAAGACAATCATGGTCATCTATCTCCATAGATTTTATTACAAATCTTCCACCATAAAGTTTATTTGACATTAACTTTATAGTCGTTGATTGATTGACCAAAATAATACATTTTATACCTTGCAAGAAGTTAATTATTGGTGAAGAAACAACAAGACTCTTTATTGATAATGTCTATCGTTACCATGGATTATCATATGATATTATGTCGGATCGTGGACCACAATTTGTATCAATGTTTTGAAAGCCACTCTTCAAGATTCTTAAGGTTGACATCAACCTTTCTTCTACCTTTCATCCTCAAACTGATGGCCAAATGGAGTAGATCAACCAAATTCTTGAGCAATATTTGAGGTGCACCACTAACTATCAAGAAGACAATTGGACTTCCTACTTGTTATTTACAAAATTTACATATAACAATACAATCCATGTATCTAAGCAACAAATGTCATTTTATTCAATCTACGATCATCATCTAAAATTGGATATGATAGAGCCTTCAAAGTTGACAAATCCAATAGTAGAGGAGTTTGCTATGAAGATGGCTGAACTTCAAG